ACTGCCATTACAGACACTGTGCACTAGGTTGTATACCCATCGTGGCAGAGGGTATGAGGAGCTATAAAGAGAGAACCGTTGAGTCAGAAAGACATTATTTTATGGGTTCTTCAAGAGATATGGCGGCTTGGACATCAGGTTGTCTGCTGTTGACAGCTATGAGGGTTGTTGCAGCCGCTGAGCTGGCCAGTTCACTCTGCACATAGAGACAGTATCTCTGTAACCTAACGATGTGGCATTGGGATTACCGCATTGTCTCAGATTGAAGCGGTTTTCGAGAGTCTCAACAGGTGTTAGGAAATTTCGGCTCACATCAGTAGCGCAAAACCTTGATCTTCACCTGCCGAAGTGGAGAAAGATAACAGAGGAAGAGAGAGAGATAGGACAAGGTAGAAGGATGTATGCAAAAGAGACCAAGAGCACGATGATCTCTGTCCGTCACATGACCACTGCAGCAGCAGATGAACTACTGCCATTTCTTATGTTCTGACATCACAGACGACCGAAAGACGACTGACAAAAACATTACGCAGAAACCCAAGTTCAAATCCATCTGTACCACAATTGAGCCTGAAAGAAGGTAACTTTGTGATGTCCCTTGAATGCCTCCCTAAGACCCACTGAACGCAAAGGGGCAGCTGCTATGCCCCTCATATTTGCGACAAGCGTGCATACAAAAAAGTACTATATAGCTCGTCCCAGGAGCCTATAGGAGCCCTGCGGATCTTATCAGGGGGTGTCAACAACATCCTGGCTCCGCTACTTCACTTCGACTCCTCTCTGATCCACTTCGCAAAGGGACTGGCCTCTATCCCGAACCCACCATGCAGGACGATGGATATGCGTTGTGCCGGATTGCGCCAATCCATCCTACGGGGCAGAAAGGGCCCTTTCCTGCTGAAGGGTTCCGAATTCTACGCGGATGCCGAAAGCCCTACAGCGTTGGGGCGATCAGACGATAGCAAATATTTCAATGACTCGGGATGCCGTTTGAGCAATTAGTGCAAGCTGCTTTCTAATTGGAGGCTATTACAACCGGCCAATCTGGAATACTTGCGATTTACCAAACGAATCCATTTCTGATGCAGATTAATAGTGGTACCTGCTATAATCCTGAAGCACTATAGGACCTGCATGCCTTGCTTGAAAGCAGTGCTCGTTACGAGGCCGTACATACGAATGGCATGCCAATATTGCTTCGGCCAAGGTCTAGGCTTAGTCCAGACCTGAAAGGAGCCTATGGACCAAGCCTATTCTTTGATGTGGGCTTAGCTGAGACTACTAACTAAATATAGACCCAAGCTTTCAGGCATCTCTAGAAGAAAGGGAAAGCTTGCGCTCCGTTTCTCCGTTCCTCAGTTGTATGGCCATTGCCTTCGTCATGTCGCTCTCAATGTGGGCGCTAATGCACTCCCCGGTTGGGTCTGTAACGCCGGACCCTGCAACCTGGACACCTGCATTCCTCCTGCCTCTGGATTTGCCGAGATGAGCTTGACTTAATTGCCCAAACCCCCTGATGATGCCGACTGGCGACGGCGGGTGGGGAATGGCATGCCCCATATTAACGTAATGGGAATTGATCAGCATTTTAACATCGCTATGCACGCTGCTAATATGAACTCCATCTGGAAAATTTGAAGGATTCAGGGACTAGTCTCCCCCGTTCTCCCGTATTCGTTACGCCAGAAAGGGGCACTGGGATTGGTGGTGTTTCAATCCTCCGTGTGCGCTCCCTATGGTGCGAAGATCCCGAACGGTGTGACTCGGCCTCGTTGACTCCTTTGGGTGGAGTGGACCTCATCTCAACGGCACAATCGGATCGCGGACCATGGGCCCCTGGTTCGTACGTGCAACAGAGTTGATCAGAGGTTAAGCCATGTGTTCCTGTCATGCAAGGGAAGGAGATGAAAATCTCCCGCGAGAAAATTCGAAGATCAGCAACTGTAAGAACATCAACTGCCGAAAAGGGGCTTGATGTCGTTGAGACGGGTGGCTGAAGCATAATCAGATTTGCTGTGTGCGATGTTTATCGGGACGCTCCGCGATAGGCTCGGGCCCACGTTTAAAGCCAAGTTCGATTAAGAAATGCCGCGTCAACCCATTCATTTAGTGCCCTTCTAGCCTTGATGGGTCGTTAGAGATTGATGGCTCCCGGGTGCCACCCATTCACAACCCATGCAGGCAGCATTAGACCAATCCTTCGCGTTATGAGAGCTTCTCTCACGGCGTGTTACCGAAGTTTTGCCTGACCCAGCTAGGTCTAATGCATGCATCGATATTGGATAAGTCGCAATGAAGGAGGCTTGCTTCCAGGGTATATTAAGACCCAGGTCATCGCCGGATTTGCAGGTTCCTTTGTTCCTCAGCGCAAGCCAATCATTCATTCCTTCTCTCGTTTTCACTCGTCTCTGTTCTGTAGATCAGAACTGCCCAGTCTTTCATTTACTCTGTTGATCAGATAACCATCCAACTCGCAATCATGCCTTCTGCCAAGCCTTTGTTCTGCCTCGCGACCCTGGCCGGTGCCGCTCTGGCTGCTCCTGCGCCTTCTCGCGCCACCGACTTCAACAAGCGGTCCACCTGCACCTTCACTGATGCGGCCACCGCCTCCGAGAGTAAGACCTCTTGCTCCGACATCGTCCTCAAGGACATCACCGTCCCTGCCGGTGAGACCCTTAACCTGAAGGACCTCAACGATGGCACCACCGTAAGCCTCTCCCGGCCCTAGCGTCAACCCCGTTCTAACAGCGACTCCAGGTCACCTTTGAGGGAACCACCACCTGGGAGTACGAGGAGTGGGACGGACCCCTCCTCCGTATCTCCGGTAAGGACATCACCGTTACCCAGTCCTCCGACGCCGTCCTCGACGGCAACGGTGCTAAGTGGTGGGACGGTGAGGGAACCAACGGCGGCAAGACCAAGCCCAAGTTCTTCTACGCCCACGACCTTGATGACTCCAAGATCTCCGGTCTCTACATCAAGAACACCCCTGTCCAGGCCATCTCCGTTGAGTCGGACAACCTCGTGATCGAGGACGTCACCATCGACAACAGCGACGGTGACTCCGAGGGCGGTCACAACACCGACGGTTTCGACATCAGCGAGAGTACCTACATTACCATCACCGGCGCCACTGTCAAGAACCAGGACGACTGTGTCGCCATCAACTCCGGCGAGAACATCTACTTCTCCGGCGGTACCTGCTCCGGCGGTCACGGTCTGTCCATCGGCTCCGTTGGTGGCCGTGACGACAACACCGTCAAGAACGTCACCTTCATTGACTCGACTGTCTCTGACTCCGAGAACGGTGTTCGCATCAAGACTGTCTACGACGCTACCGGTACCGTCGAGGACATCACCTACTCCAACATCCAGCTCTCCGGCATCTCCGACTACGGTATCGTCATCGAGCAGGACTACGAGAACGGTGACCCGACCGGCACTCCCTCCAACGGTGTTACTATCTCCGATGTTACCCTCGAGGACATCACTGGCTCGGTTGACTCCGACGCTGTTGAGATCTACATCCTTTGCGGTGACGGCAGCTGCACTGACTGGACCATGTCCGGCATTGACATCACCGGCGGTGAGACTAGCAGCGATTGCGAGAACGTTCCCTCTGGCGCTTCCTGCAGTCAGTAAAGGGCTTGCCTTCCTTTCTCTTAACCGGAAAGAAAGTTTGAAGAGCTGTGGTGCGCTCTGTACACTTCAGATAATTGCTAATCTTCTTTCATTCTGCCGTCACACAGTCGTGCATTTATAATATAAAAACCATTGGCTATACACTTTGAATTCAAAGCATAGCACACACTGTAGAAGAAGTAGTAGATTCTTACTTCATCCTTCATAAATAATGTTAATTAATAAGCAGACTGACACCATCCTAGAGCAGCTTTGAAGGAAAGCACACCTATTCATGCCATACTAGCTTCAACACCACATTCCGATCCAAACCTATAACTGCAGTGCAGCCCTGCATATCATGAATATACACCACGCAACTCTCGTCTCTTCTGTGCTCAATAATTACCACTAGCAACCATGTAATCCCTCCCAACTACAGGATAAGTACATACGACCACAGGGTGTGGAAAACAGGGCTTCCCGTCCGCTCAGCCGTACTTAAGCCACACGCCGGGAGGTTAGTAGTTGGGTGGGTGACCACCAGCGAATCCCTTCTGTTGTATGTTTTTGTTCTTTATTTTTATTTTTATTTTTTTTTTCCTCTGTGAGTTATCAGATTTAGTGGCCGTGCTGCTTTCTCTTCATCCTGTTCGTTCACCTATGGCGATTGTTTATCTGCAACGGGGCACCTTCCCCCTTCGGCGATGAAGAAGCAGACTACACTACATCCTTTGCTGATGATTGCATGTATTTAGCTCGACATCATCATCATCTTCTTCTTCTTCTACCTAGAGAATACAGACACACGTTTGATCCCTTTTATCTTACTAGATTGAGCATCTTACGCTTTCGAACAATGCCTAACGGTGCATCATCCTCCCTCACCTGAACGCCAATAAGTCACCCCCCCAGATACCCTACTTTTATCTTGTGAAGCTGATGTTTATCTACTACTCACTGATCTCTAGGGGTTTAGTTATTCATTATTAGCTATATATATATATTTTCATAATCTTGCGACTTGATCCCCAGAAATAATCCCATCCCGAAAGATATTAACTCTTTCCGGATCACCGTCTTTACAAGTTTCGACAGTACTTTACTGGTAATGACCAACCAATCACTGTGCAACTATGGAAAATCCTTCTACACGAGGACTGCAGCCGCAAACGGTGTAGCTAAGGCAGGATCCGATTGGCTTCGAGAGCGGCTCGTGGGATGTTGATTCATCTCACAGCCAAAGCAGCAAAAACTCTCAAACCCAGTTTACAACATATGTACTTGATAGATTCCAACAGAGATATACATAACAATGTACAAAACCAACATGACCGTGACGCAGACATCAACGAAGTAAGGACGGAAAAAAAAAAGATCTACCCACTCATAACCCCAACCATCTGATTCACCGACGGATTCGCATAAACAAGCTTCTGATCCACCGGGGCAGCATTCGGATCCCACTGTTTCCGAAACCTATTCACCTCCGCAATCAGCTCGATGACCTTGAGCGAATCGAGACCAAACTGGAATAGATCCGAGTCGTCGGTCCAGGCTTGCTGCTGATCTAATGTTTCTGTGAGGTGGGCGTGGATGAAGGTTTTTAGGTCGGGTTTGGGGATATGGATATTGGAGTTTGTGTTAGGAGAGGAGGCGGAGGAGGAGGGGGATGTAGGAGGGGATAGAGCAGGCGCAGGCGCAATAGTAGCAGAACCAGTAGTGAGACCTGTCAGAAGACGAGTGAGAACCCCCTGCATGGCTTTTCCGACGGCTGTCTCGACGGCTTTAAGGGAGGAGTTGGTGGAGGACTTCTTCGATTTCGGTGGTTAGGGCTGATGCCGATTTATTTGTGGTGGTGGGGGACTCGGGACGGAGAGGAGGGGTAGAGGGTGAGAGCGAGGGAGATGACGAAGTAGAAGAAGAAGAAGAAGTAGGGACAGGGGCAGCGACATGAGGACGCATCCTATCATACAGAGCCTGCCATTCCGCAGCGTAGAGCTTGAAAACCGCATGACGCTGAACGAAATCCTTACCGGCGCGCGGAAGCGGCTTATCCGGGGAAGTGAGCATGACGAAGCCTTTCATGATGCGGCCGTGAGCGGGACATCCGCGATTCGCATTGGTGATATACGGCCATAACTCTTGGAAGTATTGTTCCTCTTCCGAGGGTGAGGCTGGATAGTCATATGGCTCAATGAACACGGAGGCCTGGAATTGGCCTTGACCGCCGATAACGGCGGATTTCACCTTGGGGCTCGCTACAATCACGCTCTCCATTGTGATGGGATTCAGCTGTTCGGCAGTGGTGAAAGCGATGATATTGTCTGTCCGCGCCCGGAATACCCAGGACTCCGGGCGAAGTGGGTGTTGCGCGAAAAGGTCTCCGAAGCGGTACTCTTGCTTGTCTGGGAAGGTGTAGAAAGCACCCTGAAAGAGCACGTGGTTGGGTTGGCGGCCGAGGACTAGCTCCGATAGACCGTCACGGTTGGATTGGAATTCGTGCCCAAAGAAGGGGCTCACGGTCACGTATTCCCAGTCTGTCTGCTGGGTCGTCGTTCATCTCGAGTGGGAAGAGTAGGGTCTCGCATGTGCCCATGATGGACATGCATTTGACTTGGGTTGAGAGGGCGTCTCCGACGGCTTTTGGGGAGGGAGCCGGCGACATAGGAGAGGAGGTTGAGGTGCTTGATGATGTTTTGGCGATGGATGGGGTTGTTGTATAGGTCCACGATCAGTGATGGTGCCAGTAGCGTACCGTCAAGATTGGCGGAAGTGAGGATTTCATTGGCAACGTCGGAGGTAAGTGGTCCAAGGGGCGGGAGGACAACAGTCACGCCGGAGAATATGTTGAATGCTAGAACGAATGTTAAGCAAGCCGCATGGAGCACTCGAAGGGCCAGGAAGACACCATTTTCCTTTCAAGTAGTTCATCAGGGTGGGCTTCCCTCCGAGAGAGGGAATGAGCTGATGGGCGTCATTGCTGGCCAGGCTACCATAGGGAACGAAGACGGGCTTGGGTGAGTACCGGTCGAGCCGGAGGTGTGTCGGATGCAGAAGGTTTTGTAGCGAGCCTCTTCCCAAGTTAGGGTAAAGGGAAGAGGATTGACCTGGCTCTGAGAACCAGAAATCCAGCTCAGGCATATCCACCTCCTTCATGGATCGAGCCTTCAGGATTTGATCGAGGACGGCCGGCGCCTACTTTGGCCGCAGAGCAACCGAGCAGCCACTGCGTTCTACCAGAGACAGATGGGCATCCAGACTATTACGGTGAGAGCTGAAGAATGCCTAGGAGTTGGGAATGAGCCGTGAGCCGTAACATGGGTGGGGGTCTGTCGTGCACTTACTGTGTGACCAGCTTTAGCGGCGGCTATGATGATGAGAATGTATCTGATGTCCATAGGACCAATGTAGAGAATGGTTTGAGGATCGGTGTATAGCTGAGCAATTCATCTCTCGTAACTAATTGATATCTATACCCTCCCCATGAGAAACGTTACGGCTAGTCCAACTGTGCGTCGTAGGGGATTGTTTCGGGTTGTTATGCATCCCTGATGGACCGGATTCGTTAACACACACACACACACACACACACACACACACACACACACACACAGAAAGAACATCAGTCAGGTTCTTATGTCCTCTATGGGAAAGTGATGATTTCATTGTTCAGTAAAAGCAGATAAAAATTGTTCGAGACTTGGTAGAGGTGCAAGAGGTAGGGTTGAAGACTGTCCTCACCCGGATTGGAGGTGGGGGGTCATGACCCTGGTATATCTTCGAACAACAGTAAACCGTAGTGTCGTATCGACGGGACATATAGTTCGATTGACAAGTATGACTTCATAACATGCACTAGCTTCTCTTGTCCAAAGCCTTGTCATATGGGAACTTGTGAATCTCTTTTTTTTTTTTTTTTTTTTTTCTCCTTTTGTATGAACAGATATCCGTCGGGGCGTAGTTCCAAACAAGGGGCCGTTGTGTTCTATTTTTCTTCCACACTCTTTATATAACCATGATCTGTCATGCGTTTCATTTCAATTTTCCTCTATGCCCCATCGGGTCTGATGGCCCATAGTCTACTATGAGGTTCGGGAATATCTATACTCTCTTGTTATATAGTATGTATGCTGTTCAGGATTGTATTGGGGATATTTAGGAGGAGGTAAGTGGGTAGGTAGCTTGTGAGTATGGTATGAAACCATCAAGGAGTGTCATAATTGTGCGATAACCTATACCCGTGAAGGATCATAGTAAGAAAGAAGAAGGAGAGGATGATGATATTGTGGGAGACAACTATGAAAGATATTATACCAAAGATATCAGATTAATAGTATATACACACCTCGGTTCATCGGTAGAGGACTGTCACGATCCAATTCTGGTGCTGCTCCGGTCTGTTAAGTTCGTGGGATTTTGGCCTACTTTATGTACGACGGAGTAGGTTTCGAATTATGGGGTATTGAAATTGGCTGATTTAAGGATTGGATTATACTCAAGACCTGGTCAATATTAGTCTGTTGCGTCCCATGAATATACTGTCTACAAATTACATAGGTATCATCGTAAGCCGTTAGAATTAGCCTATACAACAAAGAAAAGCAGAGACGCAAACCCGGTCACTAGACACATAGATAAGAGTATATGAAGAAATGAAACAGACACCAAAGCTTATATATCTACTATATGAAAGTTTCAACTGTACGGAGAAGGGAAAGATAAGCCAAGTCCTGTCGTGATGAATGTACCCGGGACGACAGATACAGGATTATAAACAACTCCAAGCAAATCGGAAGCAAAAGAAAAAAAAATTGTTCAGGAAACTATAGACAAATCAAGCGGGACTCGCTTAGAACTGGTCAATGCAACCCCAGTACTGCTCAACGTCGAACTCGCCGGGGTCCTTCCACAGGTCGTTGGCGTAGGAGAAGAAGACGGACAGCTCTCCAACGGACTCGCGGATGCCCTTGATGGCGGTGGCCTGCTCGGTGGTACCGGGGACGGCAGCACCGTTGGCGTTACCCTTGCTCGGCCAGCCAGTCTCAAGGTTGATGACATCCATGTCGGTACAGATCTTCTTCAGGAGGGCGACCTCCTCGGCGGCGAAGGTACCGGCCTCGGCGGCGGTGGTCTCGGAGTTGAAGAAGGGGTGGATGTTGGCACCGAGGACGTCAACGACAGAGCACAGGTTGCTGCTGCCGTACTCCTGCCAGATGTCGACAGGCTCAGTGGTGGTGATCTCGCCAGTGTAGCCGGCAGCCTCGAAGCTGGACTTGCAGGAGGTGATGAAGGTGGCGAGCTCGCTGGCGGTGGTGTAACCGTCGGAGATGGCCTCATTACCGACAACGATGAGGGAAACCATAGACCACTCACCCCACTCGGTGATGGCAGTGACCTGGTCCTGAGCACCCGAGGTGCCGGTGCTGGAGATGTAGACACCGAGGATCAGCTTGAGGCTGTACTTGCTGGCAGCGGTTCCAACGTATTCGAGGGTGCTGCAGTCGGTGGAGTAGAGACGGATGTGGGTGAAGCCCTTGTTGGCAATGGTCTCAATGTCCGACTCGACGGTGGCCTTGGACTTGCAACCACCCGAGTTGGTGTAGGGAGTGTAGGTCATTCCCATGCTGTTGCCGCTGGCGCTGACGCCAGAGCTGGCGGCGGCGCTGGAGCTGGCCACAGTGCTAGACTGAACGGAGGAAGTGACAGCGGCAGCGGTGGTGGTGGTGGCAGGAGCCGAGGTGGTCACCACAACAGCGCTAGTGGTAGCGGCAGCAGGGGTGGTCACTACAACAGCGCTAGTGGTCGCGGCAGCAGGGGTGCTAGTGGGCTCGTTGGCGTTGGCGAAGGGACAAGTGTAGGTGTAGTCAGTAACGGTGGCGGTCACAGTGATAGCGCTGTGGGTGTAGGTGCCGGGGGTGACCGTGGAGACGGTGGGGTAGGTCATAACGGTGTTAGAGGGAACGTAGGTGGTGGTGGGAGCAATGGTGTAGGTACCGGCCTCGGGGCAGACGTAGGTGGTGGTCTGGATGATGCTGGTAACGGTGGAGCCAGAGGGGGAGACGGTGGCATAGGGGCAGGTGACGGTGGTCGAGGTCTCGACGATAGTGGTGACACCACCGTAGGTCTGGGTACCGCTAGCCAGGGAGGTGGTGGTATCGGCAATGACGGAAGTGGTGTCGGAGACGGTCACAGTAGCCGCGGGGATAGTGTAGACACCAGTCGAGGAGAAGGTGGTGGTCTCCGGGGTGGGGACAGCCTGGCTGGAGGTGGTAGCAGCAGCGACAGGGGTGGAGGAAGAGACCTGGCCGACATTGCCGCCAGCAGCACCGGTGGCAGCGACACCCTCGGGGGTGGAGGAAGTGCCAGAAGCAGCACCGGCAGCAGCACCGGTGGCACCACCAGCAGCAGGGGTAGACTCGCTGGGAGAAGCGGTGCCAGCAGCACCGCCAATAGCACCAGCACCCTCGGCAGTGGTAGCAGCCTCAGCAGGGGCAGTCGACTCGCTGGGGGTAGCGACAACGGTGACGGTGGTGTAGCTGGTGGAGTGGAGGGTGGTGACGACGTCGGAAGTCACAGTGGTAGGGACAGCAGCGGGCACGACTGTGATGGTCAGTGTATTGTCCACATCGCAAGTCGCATCAACTGGAATGTTGGAATGCGGGGGATAAGGATTGACTCACGGGTAGGGGTTCCCCAGACGGTGATGACCTCGGTGGTGCAGCCGCAAGTCTCCTCGGGCTCAGCCTGAACGGCACGACGCTGGTGGAAAGAGTCGTGACCGTGACGACGCATGTGAGCGCCGCCATCAGCCAGAGCGGTACCGGCGAGGGCAGCCGCAGTGGCAAGGAAAGCACCCTTCATCTTGACGGTAAGGGTGAAATCAATGGAGAGGGGTTCGGGAACAAATTCAATCGCAATGAATGCCCGCTAAAAGAGTGAAGCGGTGGTCAAGTTTGCAGAGTGAGAAGAGAACGCGGGAGAGGGAGGGAGGAAGGGAGGGAGAAAAGGGCACGCCGGCCTCTTTTTGATATCTTTCTCTGTGAGGGAGAAAAAGACAAACGATCTGCAAAACAAACCCGAGAGGGAAAACAAAAAAAAAGAGGGAGGGAGAGAGAGAAAAAGAAGAAGAAGAAGGAAAAGGAAAAGAGGCAAGTCTGGCCCAGCAGGGGAAAAGCCCCCAAGCAAACAAAAGGGGGCGGGAGTGGATGGATGGTGGATGGATGGATGCCAGGCACCCACTGGCCGCTATTGGACTGGATGCCCGCACGGCTCGGATAGCCTGGTGGAGTCGATTAGTTTGCACGTCGTCCATTCCCTTCTTGGGGGTTTCAGAATATCTTTTGTTCTATTCCCTCAATGCGGTGACGGTGACCGTTAGCTGCAATCCTGACATTCAGGGTCTGGCTACTATTTTTTTTTGGGGTCGATGAGTGGAAGAGGAGCCAAACGACATGTCTACTTAACTCATTACTGACCTGCTCGACACAGAAACTGACCCCGGACATATATGATTTGGATTAAGATTTTCCGATGGTGGAAGGAAAACTCTATTGCCATACGGGGGACTCCTACGTAGGCACCCCTCTTACCACATCTGTCTCCTGATGACAGGGAACAATCCATCGTTGAGACGTGTAGTTCTTCCGTATTCCTGTATGTATAGCATAAGAAATTTAATTAGTGTACAACAATATTCAAAGCAATCACAACCATCTAGCAGAGTAACAACCACACAATACAACATACAAGTGAAATGAGATTCAGCAACAGAGGCTGCTTTGTGCAGCTGCAAGGAACACTGGGAAAGTCAGGGATCCACCCCGCCTGCAGGAGGTGTTGTGGCTTTGCCCGATCGGGTACAGTGGCTGCCTCCACTGTCTGACTTTGCGGTATATCATTGGATGAGAGCAAACACCTTAATTTCCGGGGACCCACCGCAACCTGGAATAGCGACCAAAGGGCAACAGAGCCAGAAATGAGCAGAAGTCGGGCGCAATAATGGATGGCCCAGAGACCGACCCATGGTTGGGTTCAGCCTCTGCACGGTTAATAGGAGAGTGTTATTTCAGGTACGGGGTCTGAAAGGCTGGATGAAACAATGCAGATACGCAGAGAGGCAAAAGCAGCAGTCAGAAGGCTGAAGCAGAAAGAGGCGAGTTCATAAGAATAGAAACAGCCCCGGGTAACTTTGGAGTCTGACAGCCACCGTTCGGCTCCTATCCGGTTACCATTCCATTGCCATTGCCATTGCCATTGCCCCTGGAAATTACTGTCGGCTTACTGAGATCTATCCATAGTAATAATATGATCAGAATATCCAACATTACTGTACTGAGTTTTATCACCCGGCGCAAGGTTCACTCCCTCCGCATCATCTCCTAGTCAATAATTGTCAATAAATCCATGGATTCACTTAAGCTAACTATCTATCTTTTATTCGCTGATCCATCTGGAGTTACTTGACTTTCACTCTCACCGTCCTAGCAACCCACGCCGATCAGATCAATTCATTTTCATTCGAGTGTTCCTAGTAAGTGTTTTCTCTGTGGAGATGTCTCTCTCACTGGCACTCCAGCAATGCCGAGAACCGAAACGAGGCCTGGCCTTCTTGGCTTCACCTCGACAGTCGACACACAGTAACCGTCATGAAAAATTCCCTCTTCCACACGAGTCAGGGTCTGTCAGTGGCGGCCAAAGTCACTCAACCCCTCGTGCTCACGCCTCAGACCCCTGACCACTCTTGTCCATCACTTCGACTTACCCCAGATCAGATCAGATCAGATTCAGGATCCCTCGACTACATAAGTACTACATAAGTACGATACGAACACCCAAACTGTTGACTATTAAAACAACTCATGGAAAAAAAAAAATAATATCATTAAAAAAAACACACACACACCGAACTGCTCATAAATACCCATTAACCCTACAAAATAGAAATTGATCATCGTCCGCCCGGTCTCGACCGGTCAGTGCAGAGTCTCCTCCACTGCGGACCGATTTGCCCCTGACCAGGCTTGGCTTGAGCCTATCTGAGAGAGAGAGAGAGAGAAAGCGAAGTCGTTGAGCGCGCTGATTTCGGAAGGCTGAGCTGAATTTTAGAGAGTGTGTGTTGTCTTGGATGAATTTGGGCTAATTTTCAATAGTCGCGTTGGAGTGTGAGACATGATGGTGTAGCTGTTGACCCCTGAATTTGGGGGTGAGGACCCTGATACTATTACGACGAGGGTATATAGCTGGGGCGATGACTCGTGTTATTGTAGTGCTGACTGACGGGTTCTGGAAGATTCGGATATTGCCGATGCTCGCTTATGAGTAGAGTATTGGGTGAGTGGTTGTGTAGCTACGAGATACTCTAAGTAGAGGATGGAGGTGTAGTGAGTGGGTGTTGAGTTGGGCTGACCGATCCGAGGAATGTGTCAGTTTTGACACCCACACATAACTAACCTCACATTCTTGTTATAGGACTTACAAAGTATAAATTTGACACGCCTGACAGGACAATTATAGTTCCTCAGCAATAATGTCAATGGTATTCCCTACATGAGTCTCCTCCGTACCCTGTACCTCAACTCATGGTTGAGAAACCACATGGCTGAAGCCGACCGACCGGTCGCAAGGTACACAGTCCCCATGCCATCACCCATCACCATCCCCCAGAATAAAATCCAACCAACACAATCCCTTTAGAAAAAAAAGGAACCCAGGCCTTTATATATATCCCTAAATCCTTAATAATCCTTAATACCTTACTTGCCCCTCAACAACCAATTCTAATACCTCAGTACTCAACTCACTTACTGAGGTGGTCCACTAAATCAACCACATCGTACCACCCACTACACTGCACTGCTGCGCCACATCTCACCACACGTCGGAACACATCAGATCATGTTACTAGTATACACCGGGATCATGCCACCCACCCCAACCAACAACCACATTTGCATCCTTCGAGGAAAGAATTTTACAAAGTGAGCATATCTAATTGGTCACCCATATCTCTGGTATACCATCGCTCGGATCATCCGAGTCCCATGCACTGCACACGTGATGCCTTCTACCCCGGATACGACCAACCCCGAGGGGGAGTTGATAGAGGGTAAGGTGATTCGGATGGAGAGATGCCTGACTTTATTGTAGGGGGAGTATGGTGCGATGTTGTTTCTTTGTTTGGGATGGTAGACGGTAGTTTGGGTTCCGATTGATGCCGTATACTATTGCTGCCACTGCTGTAGGGCTTGGGGATGTGGTGATGTGTGTAAAGTATATATAGTAGATGCAACCAGATGAGATTATTTCAAATGGATTACAAACAAATACACACACACACACACACACTACTTTGATAAAGTCTACAAAGGACCCAGGAGAATCACTACACATCTTCAAGATCAACCAAGCATATAAATAACTACTCGAAAAAAATGAAACAAACAACTACTACATCATCTGCCCGCCTCCAAAACGACTTCGGAGCTGATCTATGGGTGAAGAATCGTCCTAAGCATGTGCGTATACTATCCCCACCCCCTTCTTCATACATCCTTATCTTCCTTTTGCTTGCACACACACACATATACTAATAAACAATAATAACAATACAGCACCCCACAGCAGGCCGCGGCCTCTTCGCCGGCCTCCAAGATACCAAGAACTATAATGTGGAATCAGGCTGGGCGAAGAGAAGTAATACGGAAAGTCAGGGGTTTTTGGGGGGTTTGTTGAGTCGGTATGTTCCATCCATCCATCCCCTACTTACTATCTATGATTTCATTGTGTGGTTGTTATGGGATGGTTGTGATGGTTATTAATAAATGACTGACGGTGAGGTAGGTTTCTTGGGGGGTCTTATAAGCCTCCTACTGAGTAAATGGTATTGATGGATATGATTGGGGGGGGGGTATGAAAATGGGTTATGGTTATGATGGATTCGTTTGTGTTTGTGTTTGGTGTTTGGGTTTGTTAGCGTTAGATTGATTATACTATTTCTCTGAATTGAAGTTGTGTTATGATATACTTGGTATATACTATGCATGTGCACTACTAACATGTATGATGAAATATTTCAACTAACTCTTACAGTAGACCAGATACATACTAATACTGCCTATATAAACAGTACTATAAAACGTAAGACAAGGTCAAAAAGCAGCGCATATCAATTAACTACCACCGTAACATCCCACCCCTACATATCAAAAAGCACCACAACAGCCAGCCCTACCTCTCCCCCAAGAACCCATCATAACTGAGTAGTATACTACTACATCTAGTACTAGATCTACATCGCAGACTTAAGCAAAGCCCCCCATCACTCCCCACCCACTGCCCACTCACAAACCCATCCTTCATACACCAAACATACGCCTCCGCCACATCCCCCGGCTCCGCAACCCTCCCCAACACCGTCCCCTTTCTGAACATCTCCTTAACTGCCTTCCTCTCCTCCACCCCCAACTCATCAAAAATCTCCGTCTCTACCGCCCCCGGCGCCACCACATTCGCCCTTATCGGCGCCAACTCCACCGCCAACCCCCTCACCAACCCGCCCAGGGCACTCCCCGCCATCGCACCCAATGTCGTCCCCGGTACGGGCTTCGACGCCAATACCCCAGAGGTAAATGTCATCGACGAGGTATGTTCATCCACCATGTAGGACTTTGCATATTTGCCGAGCATGAGGGGTGCCAGGACGCGGAGCGTTTGGCTTTGCGTGTAGAATTGTGGTGTGAGGGTTGTGGTGGTAGGGGAGATGGGGATGCGGGAGGGGCGCGTGCCGGAGGTGTAGATGATGTGGTTGAGCAGGATTTTTTTCTTGTCATCACCTTCGGTGGTACTGGTTGTATTGGTATTGGTATTGGTATTGATATTGGTATTATTGGGGAATATGGAAGGCGATGTAGCGTAGTCAAGCAGTGAGATGATAGTTGTTTCTAGGGTAGATTGATCACTCAGATCATATGCCTTCCCGGTAATGCGGGAGGTGAAGGATGGGTCCGGGTAGAGTTGTTGGAGACGGGATATAGCCGACTGAACTTTTTCTGCCTTGGAACTGGACAGGATGATGCTGGCGCCGTGTTCGAGGGCGGCGCGGGCAACGGCGAAGCCGATGCCGGAGGTGCCCCCGATGAGGAGGACACGGGTGTTGGTGAGTTTGTTGATGGAGATGAAGTTCATTGTGGTTGGATTTGGGGTGGACATTGTGTGCAGATGTATATTGTGGTTGTGAGGGGGGTTCGTTTGGTTTGGGACTCGGTACTTTAGGATAGTAGATGATGGGGATTAGGTAGGATAGCAGGGGTATGCTCTGGTTATATAGTATGGATACTGTTATATAGTATGGGCACTGGAAAGAGTAGTATATAGAACCATCTCATGGTTCTGGTTATGTCCGCTAAGTCCGATATGGGGTTAAGGTTGGGTTCGGGCGGAGATAAGAACTGTCGGAGATTATTGCTGCATTATTAATGTGTATGATGGTGTGCTATTCAGCTGGGCTTGTGTAGTGTATGGTCTGGAAGTCCACGTGGTATGCTACATGGGTATGCTGGTGCGATGGTGTGCTAGTAGTTATTTAGGGGTGAAGAATACTATCGAAATATAGTTCTGTGTTCGAAGACAGCTACTACATAATAACTAGTGCAGTGTAGAGGACTCAACTACTCTATACCAGTAACAGCCTTTGAGTCACATCGGACATCTGGACAATGTCAAGTTGTTCAGGCAGCATCCCCTCAGTACGAGGAAGGGAGTTGGAGTGGAGTATAGAAGTAGTCTGTATATTTGATGCGTACAGTTGTAAATTTAGTGGCTGATATGATGGCCGTATATATGGTTGTAATATCTCTTCCTGAACAGTCGATAGTCATTTGGAGCAGGTAGTGTTTGACAAGCATACTTATAGCCTTGAGTGGGATTATATCGATGGTGATATATGTCGACGCTGCCTTGAAATATCTATGATGATAATAAAGTCAGTGAGGGTTTAACACTACTAGTAGTCTTGATAGTACTTTTTGCTCTGCAGTCAAGACATATCTGGTTAACGTTATTAAAGAAAATACTGTGTTTCAGGAATAACATGATATATATAGGGCGTTGGCTATCTAAAATGTAGTATATGACTGGCTATGCTCTCAGTGATGTCGACAGTATTCAAATGTACCCATTTTGCAGGTAAATGGGACATCGGTATTAAACATACGGGCCACTTGCTTTGAAGTCTCACTTATTATTCAGCTTATTCAGCTATCGAATACCTGTAAATAAATATTTTGAAAACTGTACACTCTACTCCAAGCCAGCAGAAATAGATACCTTATGACAAACACGCCTCTGTACATAACTCATATATCTCTACTCTCCTGGTCTACTCCCAGCTGTCAATCTTCATCGTGCCCTTCTCCTGCAAGTTCTGGTGCATCTTGAACGCCTGGAACAGCAGGTGAGGCTCATGGCCCATACCCTTCTTCAGACACTCAAACTCAGCCCGGTCCATGTAGTCCTGCAGGATAGGCTTGTAGTCGGGGTGAGAGCACTTGTCGATGATCACCCGGGCACGCTCACGAGGAGCAAGACCACGCACGTCGGCCAGACCCTATGTTTGTTAGCAAAAGAATTACAAGCAGCTGGGGAGATCATCATCCTACCTGCTCAGTCACAACCACGTCTAGATCGTGCTCGGTCTGGTCAACGTGGGTACACATGGGAACAATGCAGCTGACACCGGTGGGGTCGACCTTGCTGGGCCGGGTACTAGGAGTGTGCATGATACTGTACTTGGAGCTGCGCAGGAAGTCGGCCGATCCACCCAGTCCGTTAAGCATGCGAGAGCCCATGACACAGGTGCTGTTGGCGTGGGCATAGATATCAACCTCCACCGGAGTGTTCATACCAATACAGCCCAAGCGACGGATAATTTCGGGCGAGTTGGACACCTGCTGCGGGCGCAGGAGCAGCTTACCGGCGTAGCGCTCCCAGTTGTCGTAGAAGCGCTTGAAGCCCTCAGGGGAGAAGCGGATGGAGGTGGCCGTGGCAAAGTCTAGGTTGCCACTGTCAAACAGGTCCAGGAACGAATCCTGGAGCACCTCCGTCCACACCTTGAGGTTGGTGAAGTCGGCACCACCCTTGCTCAGACCGCCAATGACCGCGTTGGCAATGTTTCCAATGCCGGACTGGATGGGCAGCAGGTTCTCAGGCAGACGGCCGTGCTTGACCTCGTGCTTCAGGAACTCAATCAGGTTGGTGGCAATGGCCTGGGAGCCCTCATCCTCGGGGGCGTTAGGCTGAGTCTGATCGGGGTAGTCAGACTCCACAATGGCCACGACCTTCTCCGGGTCGACCGGGATGTGAGGAGTACCGATACGGTCCTCAGGCTGCATGATCAGGTAGGGCTTGCGCATGGGCGGCTTGTCCGACATGACAATATCATGCAGACCCTCAAACGACGGGCTAGCCGTGTTGACTTCAATGATAATCTTATCGGCCATCTGGATCAGCTCCGGAGAAGCACCGACGGAAGCACCGGGGATGATGCCACCGTCCTCCGTGATAGCGGATGCCTCAATAACCGCGACATCCAAGCGGTTCTTGGGCTTGTTCATTGTGTACCAACCCTACCAACACCATTTAGTCGCTATCCACTAAAAGCATCCCAGAAAGAAGCATCCGATGAAAACTTACATAAACCAAATCCGACGGAAACATGCTCAGATGCTTGTCGAAGAAGTTGATCTGACCATTGTTGATACCCTTGGCAATCTCCTTGCCGACCTGGTGAGGGCTCCGACGGTCGATCATGTTCAATTTAGCCCAGCGGTTTTCTGTTTCCGCGCCGGAAGAGGCGCCGACGAACAGGGTGTACTTTAGTTTTCCCTCCAACTTGTTCTTCTCAACGTGGTCGGCCAGCGCCGTGGGAACTTTCCTGTGAACCGGGAACAATCTGGATTAGCCTCTGTGGCTGCCACGCGGGGACATTGGGAAGCAACCTACTTGGGATAACCAACTCCCGTGAATCCGGACCAGCCGATATACGATCCATTGGGGAAGAGGTCGATGAGATCTTCAGCCTTGGCCAACCGGTTGAGATAGGAAGGCCGGCGAACACGGCTTCTTAAGAGGGCAGAAGCAGACATTGTGAGGGGAGGAAGGGAGATGAGGAGGGAAGGACTAGTTTGTCCCGGAGAGAGATAGAGAGGGAGAGGGAGAGGTGAAGAGATGAGGAGTGGAGAGAAGAGAAAGGGGGATGAAAGGAAGATTAAGAGAGAGAGAGAGAAAAAAGAACTGGGGAAAGAAAGCAAGACGAAAGCAGACGAGGGTGACGGTGAGGTAGAAATACGGTACGGAACCCCCGCCACGTTCCACTACCCCGGTCTAGACGGAATGCGAGGAGCAGCGCGTCTTCGGGGATAAGGAGCGACTACTATATGGATCCCGCATGGACTATGGGGGATTGCTGGGGGATAGCCGGATGCTGAGTGGCTGTCGATCGACCAGTGCTGCAGGAAGGGCATGCAGGAGGGTGTATATTACTCCGATGCTGAAAGGTCGGAGTAGTCTAGACAGCCTGCATCCAGCTGGATGTATTTAAGGTCTTGCCAGCTGCTGGACCACGTCCCTCTGGGGCAGGGAGGGTCAATGGTGCTGGAACTGAGTCGCAACCTCTTCTACAGTGCGATGAATGGGTCTGACAGTGTCTTGTCTCAGTGGAAGGTGGGTTTCTACTGATTTCTTCTTCTTGGGGTCTGCATCTTCAAGGGTTTCCTTTCCATTCATGCTGACGTCACGCCGGCAAACTCTCGGCCAAACATAGTTCTGCCTCTTCCAGCGTTGCCTCTCCCACGTCACCTTGAACTCAACCGTGTCTTGTTCTCCCTGGGGAAATCATGATTCTATTGACATGGGCGAATGATTCAATATCGATTATATACTCCTCTCTCTCTCTCTCAATTCCAATGCGATGGAATGTGCTGCTTCACTTGAAGAAAAAGCAGACAGCACCGAGCTTCGTCCAGGAAAGTGCCGACGGACTAGTCTCGGCCCGTATCGGTTATCTGCTGTTCGGCCACACGGAAGCTAAGCTGATCTGATCGGTGCTACTCTGTTGCTGCTGTCTCTCTGCTCGTCTGTGTCCAGCAAGCTTCCGCCCATTACTAACTCCCTCCTCATATCAATACTCTACTAGTCTAGACTCAGTCCACTCCACTTCAATCCAAATCGATTCATTCAATATCGGTTGATCAACAACTCCCATAGTCCTAATTACACATACACAGTGAAGAAGAATTTGAAATCGCAGCAAAAAAAGAAAAAAAAAAAAAAAAAAAAAAAATAGGAGGAATAAGAGAAAAAAAAGAAAACATCCCAAAGTTGACCCCGTCCCAGAATCACAATCCTTCCGACCCCCACGCCAGACAATTTTCCCCCTGCCGGTCGCAAGGTGCGCTCCAATCCACCCCCAGACCGGTCGCATCTCCTCGCTATCCCACCAGGCGGATTCGATTTTCCAACAAGCAGAAATTTCCCAATTAGTGCAACCGTAGAGACACTATGTACCGTTTATGTAGAGAGGAGGTCCCCTGTATTCGTCATACACATGGTGCAGTGTGGAGGCGCGCCGGCCCAAGCTATCCCCCGCAGAAGCTGACTTGGCCGCACGCTGCAGACATGCGCTGTTCTATGCGAAATCACTGTTCAATGCTCTTTCGACTCCACCGCAGACTGCTCCACATCAGCCATCTCCGTATCTTCCTTGTCGTTCTTCGACTCGGTTTCGGTGCCTTCCGCCGGAGCAGCAGCAGCTGCTGCTGCCTCTCCGTCAGAGCCCTTGATCCAGGACCGGAATCGTTGGTTCGACTCGTCCACTTGATCCTTGCTGAGACCATGCGCCCAGTGCGGGTTATTGACAAACTTCTCCGTAAACCGGTCCCGGCGTCGCTCCTTCACTGCCGCCTCCTCCTTGGCTACCTCCTCGGCCGCTTCCTCCGCCGGCGCCGTCGGCCGCCACCACCAGTCGTAGCTGCCAGGCTCGTACAGAATGTGATAGCTGTTGGCACAGATGCGGATAATCAATCCGTCCTGGTGCACCAGCGGGCGGTAGTAGCGGTTGTACTCCTCCTCCTGCTCCAGCTTGGCCGGCAGGTTGCGCTTCAGGAAAGGCATGCGCATCTGGGAGAACGGCACACCCTCGGTCGGATCCCGCATCGTGTACGCAGAGACGTAGTAGGACCAGCGCGCCTCTTGGCTCAGCTCCTCATTCTCCAACGTCGCATCCTCGGGTGTCAACAGCTGCAGCGTCGTCTTCTTGGTGGTAGGGTTCTAAGGCAACTCGTGTTAGATAGCAGTTTAGAAATAG